CAGGGATCGAACCCGTGCCCCCTGCGCTGGAAGCTTGGAGTCCTAACCACTGGACCGCCAGGGAAGTCCCAGAATCTGCATTTCTAACGAGCTGCCAGGAAGCGCTGCTTTTGTCCGGGCCACACTTTGAGAACTGCTGCCCCAGGGCTCCGTCACAGCCACCCTGATTCTCGCTGACCCAGGGCTTTCTGCTTCCTGCCCCTGCTGCCCCGCCTCCCCCCTTTCTCCAGCTGGGGGGCTCTTGCTTTGCCTTCTTTACTGGTCTGCCCTTTGCTGAGCTCTGGGTTCGCCCCGAAAGGATGTAGAAAAAATTGTTTTTATCCACTTTTGTCAAGCCAAAGGAGATGGGAATGCTTCTAAAGGCGTTCTAAGTGGGGGGGAAATGGACTCCCCAAATGGGGCAATGTACGCATGGAAGTGGACGCAGTTGAGGGAGGCTGGGGTGTGGGCTCCGGGCTGGTTGGTTTGTGTTTGAGAGGCACACTTACGGGTGAGTTGTTTGGTATCTCTAGGAACGGGCTAGTCTTTGGAGGGGTCAGCGAGGCCCCAGATGTCAAAGCTAGAACACAGACGTGCTTAATAAAAGACTTGGTTAATCCAGGGCGGTTTGCGGAGTAAAGGGGAGGTCTTGGCTCTGAACTTCAGATCCGTTTTAAAGTGTCTTTCCTAAGAGCACTGTCCAGTCCATAAACTATGGATTGGTGTGTCACTGCCCCTTGTCCTCCGGATTCAGCCGGTCTCTCCCATGCCACGTTAGGGGTGACCGTCCCCTTCCTTTTCCTCTCTGGTGGGGGGGTCCCTTGCTCACGGTTCATGAACTGAGGCCAGCTACAGCCGTGTGAGGTCACTGATCCCACACAGGCTCCCTGGGGCAAGTGTAATAGCTCCGGGAGTGCTGGGTGAGGTGGGGTGACCGGGAACCGCACGGAATGGCACCTCCTGTGAAAGCTGGAGTGCCAGACCCTAAAGGGACATTGAGGAACCCGCATCCTCTTTGTGATTCGCTTCACCCGAGGTCCTCAGCCCAGCAGCCAAATCCTGTGGAGCCTGCCCTTGACCTCCTGACCTGGGGGCCTGGAGTGTTTTGAAGATGACAAATCAGAGTTGGCTCAGCCTGAAGTCTGCATGCCTGTCGGGAGGGTTGGCAGGTGCCCGTGCCCAGGTGCGGTTTTTTACATTACATGACACACGGATGAGAAGGCCGTGGGTGCATCTGGGGCCTGGCGGAGTGATTCAGGAACCATCACTGCTTCCCAGAAGCATGGCGCTTGGGTGTCAGCTGAGCAAATGTTCTGTGTGTCACTGAGATTATTAGAAAGCAGAGAACCATCCCATGACTTAGTGGAAGCTGGGGGCAGGGGCTCTATAGAAGCTGGAGGGGTATCAGGGCCGGAGGAGGTGGGAGGTGTGGGGAGGGCGGCCAGATCTGGAAACTTCGCTTCCCGTCTGGATAGACGGGAAGCCGCGGGCACTGTTGGCAGGCATGTCTTCCTGGCCACCCTCGGTGATGGGACACGCGGCTGGTTCTCTGCAGCAGAGTGATATCAGCATGAATAATCCTTGCGTTGCTTCTCATAGAAATCAAATCTCTAGGACAAGGAAACGTTGCTGTTTCTCGTTCTAAAGGAATGGAATGTCTCTACACCCCTTCCACCCATGGATAGCATGGTCCCACCTCCACGCGTGGCCTGGCAGTGCCCTGGGAGGTCGGCTTCTAGGTTTGTTCTTCTGGATGGGCCATGTTCCCAGCGCCAGCCCCATGTCCCCAGCCCAGAGGTGGAGGGTAAGGCAGAGGGAAGCAGGGGCACAGAGAGGGACAGTGGACCTCGAATCAGAGCAGCCTTCTGGAGTCTCTGGAGCCCACGGCAGAGGGAGGGCTTGGTTTGTGGATGCAGGATGCAACGGTGCGTGTGTGTGTGTGGGGGGAATGGGGAGCTCTGCGGCCTTTGGTGGGGAGGCAGTCGGGGCTGGGTGCCCTGGGGACAGGGTGTAGGCATGACACGGGCCCAGCGTCCAGCTGGCCTCTGTCCATGCCCTGGGCCCCGTGGGCAGGATGGGGGGAGAGTGGGCAGTGGCCGTTAGAGTTCTCATCCCTTCGGGTGTCTCTCACTGGAACCAAGGTTAGGAGGAGGAAAGCCAAGGAGGAGCTGGAAATAACTGAATACTAAACAAAATCTCTCCTGCAGCTCTCGAATGCTCTGTGCATGCTCTCTACGCCACGCCGTCTAGACAGCCTTGACCTTTAGGTGTGACGGGCACTGCGCTCTTCCAATCCACACTTATGCAGACCCATTCCCTACACTCTGTAGCATCGTTAGGCACAGACTCTGAGGACGGGAAAGGAATCTTCGAGCTTGTCAAGGCTGAATATAATAGTCCCCTAAGCGCACCAAACTCCTCCCTGGAACCTGTGGTTTTGGTACCTTATACGGCAAAAGGGGTTTTACAGGCGTGATTAAGTTGTGGATTTTCAGGTGGGAAGACTATCCTGGATTATTCGGGTGGGCCCCACATAGAGTCACGAGAGTCTTCCTAGGAGGGAGGCAAGAAGGTCAAAGAAAAAAGGCCACGTGCTGATGGAAGCCCGGGGGAAAAAAGGGCAATGTGCTGGGAGCCGCAGTCAAGGAATTGAGGACAAACTCTAGGACATGGAAAAGGTAAGAGAAGGATTGTCCCCTGGAGCCTTCAGAAGGACCTCAGCACTGCCAACACCTTGACTGTAGCCCCTTGAGACCATGTCAGACCTCTGACCTCCAGAACTGTAAGAGGATCAGGTGGTATTGTTTTAAGCCATTGTTGGTGGTAATTTGTTACAGCAGCAAAAGGAAACTAATACAGAACTCATTGACCTCAGCCCTCTCTTTTTACAGCTGAGGAGACTGAAGCCCATTTGTGGTAGATATTTTCCTTTTATGTTTGCTAATTTGTAAGTCGTTTATGAGAAGGGAATGATTTTTCTCCTGCCTCCGTGAATAAGACCAAGTTTTTTTCTGTATTGTCCTGTTGACGAGAGCAGGCCTTAGAATTTTCAGTTTTATGGGGTCTGATTGCTGTATTGATTCTATAGGTTCGATGACCATATTTTCTTGAATCAAAATGAAAGAACTCTGATCTGATAAGTATGAGTGGGCTTATGGGGATAATAAGACAGAGGCTATTCCATAAAACCAGGGACAAATAGCCCGCGCTGTAATACATGGCGTAGTGGCCAACCCATGCCGTCCTGGCCGCCAGCTCCCGTCTCACCTCCCACACCCTCTGCCTCCACAGCACAAGGAAGGAAAGGGGGTGGAAATCTTGACAGGGTTTTCAGAGGACGCTGCTGCTGATTTCTGAACCAGAACAGACTTTGAAAAGTCCTCCTGAGTCTAAAAAATGAAGACTCATTGCTTCAACACTTGCAATAGACATCCTGGGCGACCTTCACCTCAAACCTCAGAGGATTTCGAGATACTACGGAACATTCTGTGCTTTGTTTATTTCCCATCAGTTGGTGGAGAAATTGAACCAATGCACTGGTGACAGTGGGAACAGGTCAGTGTAGGCCCTGGAGGGGAAGGAGGGTGCAGAAAATGTAGCCCTGGAGATACTGCAGGATCGGTTCCAGGCCACCACAATAATGCGAATATTGCAATAAAGCGAGCCACATGGATTTTTTGGTTTCCCCACGTATATAAAAGTAATGTTTACACTCTACTGTAACCTGTTAAGCATGCAATAGCATTATGTGTAAAAAAGTACATACCTTAGTTAAAAAATACTTGATTGCTAAAAAATGCTAACCATCACCTGAGCCTTCAGTGTGTCATAACCTTTTTGCAATCATGTCAAAGATCACAGATCATCATCACAAATACAGTAATAATGAAAATGTTTGAATTATTTGGAGAATTACCAAAATGTGAAACAGACACGAAGTGAGCAAACGCTAATGGAAAAATGATGCCAATAGGCTTGCAAAGAGTTCGGTTGCCACAAACCTTCAATGTGTAATAAATGCAGTATCTGCAAATTGCAATAAAGCAAAGCCCAGTAAACCGAGGTCAGCCTGCACTGCTGCAGGCCGGGGGACTTGTGCTTGGGTGGCTGTGAGTCTGAGGCGTTAGTTATTGAAAGGACGATTCAAAGATTCGAACAATTCTTGTGGCTTGAGGATCAATGTTTCCCACAGAAAAAGCTGAGGTTATGTAAATTCCTCTTTATGGATCACAAGATCAGCAGTTACCCTTCAGCAGGGCCAAAGGCACATTGCACGATTGCACTTCCTTTCTTTGGCTCTATTAATGTGGGCTGTCCTATGCTATTTAGTGACTAGGATCTCAACCAAGGCAGGTCAGCTGGATTAATGTGTTTGGTGGACTACAGAGACGGTGTGGAGAGGACTCAGTTATTGACATGCCCTTCATCCTGGAATGACGATGGTATTTGGTGAGATTTACCTGCTCGGGTGAATTCACACCCTTGAAACTTCCTTGGCTTGACCCCAAATGTATAGCTCACTCTTCAGTTTTACCATGTCAAAATTATGGAACAGAAACAAATATTCCCCCTTCAACTGGTCCTTGGAAAAAGAATAAACACAGTTACAAGGTAAGATTTACTCTTTGCCCAATAAACTCCTTTTGGGGGTATTACCAGCTTCCATAAGAACCCCATCATGAAGTTATACACACACTCAGTTAATCCAGTGAACTCACCTGTGGTCCCCCTATGTGCCTGGACCTCAGTTTCATCTCCTTGAAACTGGAGAATGGATTTGACCATCTCTAAGTTTCCATCTTGCTTCAGCATTGTTTTTCTCAGATATTATTTATCCATCTGAGTTGTGACCCTTGAAAGTTACCTTCCTTGTTAGCAAAAGGATAAAACTCATGCCGGCGGGCCCTTCTGACTGTGAGCCATTTGCTCTGGGTATGAAATTCCTAAGATTTCTCTAAAAGAGTTTCTGTATCTGCCTTTTCACCTGTAAGAGCCTCAGTATCTGAATAAATCAGACAGCAGATGTCATTAAGGTTAGTAACAGGGATTTTTAAGGACATTTGGAAAAGTCCTTCCTTTCCAACAGCAGGGGTCCAGGCTCACCCCCTGGGGCTCCGTCCTCTCTAGCTCCACGGGGAGCTCCCTGAGGGGGAGAGGCACATTCAGTATCACCTTTGGGGCTGCTGGGTGGTTAGGAGACACTGGTTTTGTACAGACATGAATTTCCATCTCTAAACTATTCAGTTAGCCAAATCCCACACACTATAATAAATACTTAAGAGAATCACCCCCTTCCTTTGCTAACAACTAAACATCACGTAAGACTGGCAGTGGGGGTCTCCTAACCCTAGAAGGACTTCATGGGGTGGGGGGAAACGGCACATACCTCGCTGGTTAAAGCCCCAGAGTCCTCCTTTTCTCTTTAATGGGGCCGTGGTTGGGCAAAATACACATCACTTTAAAACCACCTCACAGCTGGAAGTATATAACTTTTAGCGAGTCACAAAAAATAGGGAAACTTACACAGAGTTTCTTTGGTCACTTCCCCATCTGAGTGATCACGCACCCAGTGCTACAGCTGAGACGGCGCTCCCAGTGAGGAGGGAAAAGGTGTGTTCACAGCCACCCGGTTGGAGGAGTGACACAAGCCCGATTGGGAAATCCCTGGACGTATAAATTCCTGCCAGACCGCTGAGCTCCCACTGAAGGTGAAAGGCCTGGCAGCCATCCCAGGAGACAGCACCAGGCAAACGATGCAGAGCTGCAGGTAAGAGGGGGCAAGGGCAGGGAGGGCGATTGACCTGGGAGTCAGGACACCTGGGCTCCATCACTTCTGGAGGGCACCTCAGGAGGCTTTCCTGATGTCTCCAGATCCCCGGTGCCTCCTCCATGTGACTTTCCTCATCTCTGTGACCTTCTTCACCTGTGTGAAAGTGACCTTGACCTTTTGGGGCTTCAGTTTCTCTATCTGTCAAAAAAGGGGCTGGATTGGAGGATTTCTAGGGACCTTCTCTGATTGGAAGTGACCGGCAAAAGTGCTGTGGAATCAGTAAGAGGAAAGGAGTTGCTGAGAGGGTTTGTGTCCAGCTCAGGGGAGGCTGTGCCTCTGAGACTTACACTGAGTTTAGAAGCTTTCCTCTTTGGAAGGATCGTGGGATGCTTTCTAAAGTATGAGAAACTTTTCCAGTGCCTGAGCTCTCCGTGTTGGCTGATGACCAACCCTCACGGCCGTCTTGGAGGAGTAGCAGGTAGAGTGTGGCTAAGTGTGAGTCCCAGAGGCTAAAGCGTCCGGGTTCCAGTCCAGCTGTGCCTGTTACTGGCTGTGTGACGTCACGCACCTGTTCTTATAGTAACTGTCTTTTAAAAATCCTGTTCTCCAGTGAAAAAGTATCACTGAATAGAGATGGTCCACCAGTAGTCAACAGCCAGGAAGTGTTAAGCTTATCTTTATCCCTTGCTTCATTCCTGTGAAGTAATAAGAAAACTGGGTGCGATTCTTTAAAAAAATCATTTTTACCCTCGATTATAATTAAGTAACCCACGCAGTTTATTTTCACCCTCCCGGCGCCCCGGTCTCCCCATCTGTAAACCGTGATGCTGGCGGTGAGGCTCACAGGTGGAGGGAAGGGCGTATGAATCCGAATCACACGGAGCTTTAGCACAATGCTGGGCTCACGGGGTTGCTACCTAAATGGTCCAGCGGTTAAGACTCTGCGCTTCCAACGCAGGGGGTGTGGGTTCGATCCCTGGTCGGGGAACTAAGATCCCACACGCCGCACGGCACGACCGAGAAAAAAAAAGCTTGCTCTCTGTATTAGATGCCCTCCCTCTCGATTCCCACTCCCCTTTGGAGGCCTTGCCTCTTCCTGGCGCCCAGCTCCCTCGGGAGCCCCTGGTCCCATTCTGCCCTAATGCCGTGTGATGCTATTCGGGGCTTGTCATCCTTCTGAATTTCCTCTCCTGTAAACTGAGGCAGTTGAGTGACTTGACCTTCTGAGTCCCTCCGGCAGCTCGATGTCAGCGGTGGGATGCTGGGGCATCCCTCCCGGCAGCCCATCCTGCACCTCTACCCCCACCCCGCTCACCCTTCCCTGAGCTCCCCCTCCCCAAGAGAGTGGGGGTCCCTCTTCACCAGCTCAAAAAGGGGGACTCCTCCTACATGCACGGTAGAAGGGGCACTTCCCCTCAAACCTCATTACAGTTTGCCCATGTTTTAATTGTATGTTCCACTTTCTAGCCTGTTTGGTTATCGTAACAGGCAAGAAAGGGAGCTTGGCCGGGGTCGTGGGGCTGTGAGGATGGTCCCCGCACCATTTGTTGCCAGCTGGCCCGGGACGCCGCCCCACCTTTCCACACCTGCCACAGCCCTTCCCCTCAATATCCCCACTCCTACCGCACCCTCAAAGCCCAATTGTTTGACAATCGACACCTGAGTGATCAGGACGCACAGACCCTAGGATAGCAGTCTAGTGACAACACAGCTGAAGCAGTGCAAGTGTATAGTTTCGGGTGGTCTTTTTATGTCACCATCACCTGCTCTCTATACGGGGACACTTGATCATGACTGTCTCCAATCAGTGGGTCTCAGACTTCAGCCTGCTTCAGCATCACCTGAAGGATTTATTAAAATGGATTGCTGACCCCACTCGGAATTTTGGATTCAGTAGATGTAGGGCAAGAGGGGCTGAAGACTTGCCCTTCGAATGAGTTCCCAGGTGATGCTGAGGCTACTGGTCTGGGAGAAACACTCCCTTAGGAGATGAGAGGAGGTTTCATGTCCAGAAGCAAATCAGCAGGAATAAGTGAGTACCTCAGAGTCTGAAACTAGACCTCAGCTTCCCACCAATTTTGTTCTCTACCCATGAAGGACTGCTGCTTAAAGAAGGAAGGGAGAAGGCAGCAAAAAGATGAAAGGGACGTGGAAGCGTCTGTGATCAGCAGATAAGCCAGACCCGGTGGGGTCACAGGAAAAATAGTGATGGGGGTGATGTTGGTCTTCCAGAATCTTAGAGTCCCTGCTCCAGTGTTCTTAACCTGGTTGAGCATTAAAATCACCTGGAAAGCTTTAAAACAAATCTCCGTACCTGGGACCAATTACGTCAGGAACTTGGGGGTGTGGGGCCCAGGCAGCAGGAGTTTTGAAAGCTTCCCAGGCAATTCTGATGTGCAGCTAAGGCTGGGATCCACTGCTCTATTCTACTCTTATACTCCTCCCCGTTCCACTTATATAAACTACTTAGGGACTTCTTTCTCCCTGCAGAGCCTGTGTTCTAAACCTGTCATGTATCTGATGATTCTCATTAGATAAATGGGCATTTGACTTAACCAGTAGCATGAGAATCTGTATGAAACTCCATCTGAGCGTTTCTGGAGCGTACGTTAGTTAAGAACCTCTGTTGCATTTTGAGCACAAATAATTCCCTGAACACACGAGGTAAGTTGTTGTGGCACTTGATTGTGGGCCAAAGGAGGCCAGTTTAAAACCAGGATATCATCTTGCTATGTGACTTGGACATAGAAGTTTGTTTCTGGACGTTAGTTTCATTCATCTGATGAAATGGATGGATTAGAGAGCAGGGGTTCTTTGCTATTTTAAAGAATTTCTGGGAAGTATTCCACTCAAATTTTATTTATTTATTTATTTATTTTTTATATTTATTTTTGGCTGTGTTGGGTCTTCGTTTCTGTGCGAGGGCTTTCTCTAGTTGCGGGGCGCGGGCCTCTCACTATCATGGCCTCTTTTGTTTCGGAGCACAGGCTCCAGACGCACAGGCTCAGTAGTTGTGGCTCACGGGCCCAGCCGCTCCGCGGCATGTGGGATCTTCCCGGACCGGGGCACGAACCCGTGTCCCCTGCATTGGCAGGCGGACTTTCAACCACTGTGCCACCAGGGAAACCCTCAAATTTTTCATGAAATGTCAAGAGGAAATTTAAGCATGCTTGGACTTAATTGGGGATTGCTAACCTGAGAGTATTCAGGGGCCAGGCAGTAAGTCAAATCCGTGAGGCTGAGTGACAGGGCCTATGACCCACTGGAATGAGTTTGTCCCTCGGAAAAGACATTCAGTGAAAAATAACACCACCACCCAAGCTGAAAAAATGCATATCCACAAGTTGAACAGGGCTGTGACCCCCGGTTTGTGATTCCCAGATTAGCTTTGACTATTTGTGACAATCTGATCCCATCACCCCTAAGTGAAAGGGATGAGGGCCAAGCCCTGGCCCCATCACTTCTATTTGTATTTCCTTGGAGGAGTTATTTAACTTCTGTGAGCCTCAGTGTCTTTATCTCTAAAACAAAAATAATAATATCTAGTTTGTAAAGTATTGGGAAAAGTAAAAGAAATCATACATGTCAAGACTTTGCCCAGTGCCTGGCACATGGTGGATGTTCAATAAGTGTTAGTTATCCTCACCATCACCACCACCATCCTCACCATCACCACCACCATCCTCACCATCACCACCATCACCACCATCACCACCATCATCAGATTATGAGGTTCTGACCTCAAAATTTCAGGAACCACCCTGAGAGGGCTGGGGTGATCTGGGTACAGGGATTTAATAGCGCCCCCGCTTTTAGTCCCCGTGGGTATCTGCCTACTTTATTTAAGAATGAGCCAGTCCTTACGATCAATGCTTCTCAAATCACCTGGGGGTCTTGTTAAAAAGCAGATGGTTCTCATTCCCTAGTTCTGGGGTGGGGCCTGAGATTTTGCATTTCTCACAAGTGATGTCCATGGTTCTGGTCCAGGGACCACACTTTGAGTAGGAAGGCTTTAGAATATTCGAGATGAGGTTTTCTTATTGGGGAGCAAGGAAGTCAATGTATGGCTTTGGATGTGTCCTAAATTTTCTAGAGCTAGTATTTATCAGCATGTTTTCTTAACTGTCTGTGGTTGGCAGAATTCTAAGGTGCCCCCCACTGAGCATGCCTTGTGCAGCTCCCTCCCCTTGAATGAGGGTGGGTAATATAAACAGGATGGGATGACATTCCCATGATTAGGTTACCTTATACAGCAAAGGCGAGGGAAGTTTGCAGATGTATTTTAGGTCCCCGGTCAGTTGATGTGAAGTTAATCAAAAGGAAGACCATCCTGGGTGTTCCCGGCACAACCAGCTGGGCTCTTTAAAAGAGGGTCCAGGGGTCAGAGTCAGGAGGTCAGAGAGATGTGAAGTAGGTGGTCCATTGGCCCTGAGGAAACAAACTGTCCCGTTTTATGGAGGGGGCCCCAGGGCAGGAAACAGTGGTGGCCTCTAGTTGCTGAGAGTGGCCTTGGCTGACAGCCAGCAAGAAAGTGGGCACCTCAGTTGTATAACCCCTAAGAGATGAATTCTACCATAGCCCCAGGGACGTGGGACAGGACCCCAAGCTTTGATGTCCACCCGTGGGACCCGGAGCAGAGTCCATCCAAGCAGAGGCCGACCCTGGGCCCACAGTGATGTGAGCTAATAACGGGGCTTGGTTTCAAGTCACTGAGTTTGTGGTCCTTTGCTCCAGGGCAGTAGAAAACGAACACAGTGTCCTTATTCTTCTCTTTGATTGCTGTGCATATACCCTCCGGGTTACACTGCAACGATAACCTACAACATCTCAGTAGCTTGTTCCATCACCTTGCTCACGTCACGTCACTGTCTCGGGGCAGCTGTGTCAGACCGTGACGGCCCCTCACAGCTACCTGAGGCCATTTTCAAAAGAGAATTTTGTAGACTACCTGTCTGCCTCAGATTGTTTTGACACAAGTGCTGGTGTGGAAAATCTGT